TGTCAGCCTGAGCCACGATTGGCTTGGGATGAAAGAGGAAAAAACTGCTCCTAGATCTGGACTTGTCTGCATCATTTGTGGTAATTATTGCCCAGCAGCCTGTAATCTTTTCATGTCATATCGCACTCTCAGCCCTCGGTCTCTCTCTACAAACTTCTGATCCCAGAAGAGGCTGAAGATCAGAGTGCAGGACCCAGTAGAGCAGCAGGCACACCAGCCCCAGAAAGGAAAGCAAAGCAAGTTACACTGCAAGGACCTGGGCAGTTCAGTCAGCTTCAGATACAAAGCGATTACTTGTGCTAACAACATCCAAGCACTTGAAGCAGATGCGTGTCCAAACACTTATTCTACCTGTCCAGCTATTAATTTCAACTCTTGTAAAAGAACACAGCATTCCATGGGAATCACAGGAACACAGGGAGAATCCAACCCCTATCACTGCACGGTTGTTTCACGCTGAGTTTTTTTGACCCTCTCCAAAACTCTTTCTCTACCACAAGTTCAAGTAGCTGTGATAGCACGTAGATATCCCACCTCTCTGCAGCACCCCAGACTTCTGATCAACATGCTATCTTGCAGCAATGGCCTTCATTGTAGCTGAAAAAGTAAAAAACCCACTGACAATGTATTGCTTGTCAACAAGGAAATGTACTGTTGAAGAATACAGGAAAGGGCTCCAGAGCTGCCACGTGGATCCTGGGAGATCAATTTCTTCTTCAGAGTTCTCCTATGCAGTAGAAAGGAGGTATACGTGATCTGTACCACCTCATTGTCAGGTAAATTGAGCTTCAAACACTAAAGGAGAAAACAAGCAAGCAAAACCCACACATCTTTGTGCTGCAGCATGACTGTTTAGTCCATAACAGCTATCTACTATCTCTACATTTTTTATTAGCTCATGTTTACTTTGGCTGCACATCCAAGCAGTCATTTAACCAGGGTGAGAGAGGAAAATCTTGGACTCTTAACAATGGCCAAGCAGTTTAATCTGCCGCTGGGGACGATGACTTGCCTCCTATTGGTGTTTAGTACTGGCAGGGTCAAGCGTAACATGTGGTGAAGGAAGCACTAGGGAAGCAGATCTGCAGCCATTCCATCAACACTGAGCATTTCCTTGAGCTATTCAGAGGTCTCTTTCCTCCCTGTGAGCAGAGAATGGCTCCAGCTGTCCAGTCACCTGCACTGGCTTCTCTGCTCACAGGATTTATGAGCTTAGGGGCCACGAACAGCTCAGGTTGGATGCAGCACATTCCTCTGGCTTACAGCTTAGATGCTCAGAACCCAGCTAGAAAGCAGTTAAGATTATGTCCTTGGATGGTGCTGGAAGCTGATTTCTGCTCCCAAACTTGAGTGGCACTGGGCAGACTGGGCATAAACATCACCCAGCTTTTGTCCAGCAATGATCCTAATCAAAAGTAGCTGATTTCAGGATTGTTTTTTATTAGAAAAATCTCAAAATGCTTTATATAAAATAAGTCTCAAACTTGCAAGCCTGTTATCACGTGCAGTGATACGTTCAGAGCCAAAGCAGTCAAAGAGATGCTGAGTAAGAGCAAGAACATGAATTTAGGATCTTCATTGCATCGCTACTTAGACTCCATGCTAAGCTATTTCCAAATAACTCTCCCTTAAGAATTTTAAGACTATTAGCTTATTCCTAATGTCCTTGTCCTGTTTCATCCCAGAGTAATACTATCCCATCAGTGTGTTCCTACTGACTAAGGGCAGAATCATTTGTTAAAGCTGTCCTCTATTTAGCAAACACCAGCAGACACCAAGTGACTCACACAGCAGAGGCAATTCTGCAAGGATGAAATACAGGAAGGTGGAAGCCGTGTGGCATTCTTCAGTTTCCCTTTTTTTTGCAATCAGACCCTTGATATTTTCTTCAACAGGAAAGCTGACACTCCCCCTTCCCTGTAAACTGCTGACAATTGTATTTTACACCTGGCAAAGCCAGAGCAAAACGGAAAGGAAAGGAGAAACAAAGAACAAGGACTTTTCTTAGCAACTACATCTCCCTAGAATGGAACATTTTTCTTTCTGACTGCTGCTGAATACACGTTACTTATTAATGGATAAAGTCCAGTAACGACACATTAGTCATTACAATAAATGGCACCTCTTCTCTACTGAGCACCCACAGCACAGAGTGCACGACTGAACCCAGCATCCCCACCAGAACCTGCAAATCTGTGCAGCTGAATCCCTTCACTTGCCAAACTCTCAGCCCTTGCCCCTGAACATCCTAGGCTTCAAAAGCAAGCCTAAGTTCTCAGTGTTAACCTGAAGATTAAATAATACTGGTAAAGTTTTTCTGCCCTCTGACAATTGGTCTTCTTGCTGCAGCTGGTAGCTATTGTTAGAGGTGCTCTTTCTGTTCTCATCCATTTACAATTGTTCTGATGGCACCAACAGACAAAATGTTGCTCTCTCTCCATTCTTCCAGCCAGGGTCTCAAAACTGCAGCTGTATCAGCAGGAAGAGTCAAAACCTATAAGGAACGAGGAGCCACGAGCTGCACTCCAGAGTGGAAAGCTGAGCAGACGTGGCAGTGCCAGAGCAAGCTGGTGCTCTGCAGTGGGCACAGGCAATGAGTGTCAACCAGGGATACCAAGCAGCAGGGGAGAAATGACTTCCTTATATGAGCAATTACCAGAAATTATGAAGCTGTTTGTCCAGTAAAAAAAAGCTTGGCTTCCATTCAGACCAAGCAGCCAGTCAGTCCCCAGTTTTCTGTAAATATATATATTTGTCTATGGAAACTTTCTGACATGAAAGGTGAGGCAGAGGAAAAAAGGTTTATACTCGTGTCTCTCCTGAGGCTACTGATGCAATTAGGGTTCTTCAAGCATGACCTCATGCAAGCTAAGCACAGTGAAAATCCCACAGACACGAGCAAGAACCCCAGCAGGCCACTGTAAAAACCTTGCGTGTCACTGCTGTGATTACCATAAAAGTCCCTTTCCTGGGAGAGGGGGAGCAGGAATCATTTGAGCACTAAGAATAACCAATTTGTTCCATTTTCCTGCTCGTACTGCAGAAAACAGCAGGTCGTGTAACAGCATCAGCCAGGCTACAACTGGGAACACAGCAGAAAGCATCTTGCCTCATAGCACAAGCAATAGAGCGAGTCCTGGCTGTGAACTATACCGAGTGCTTCCAAAAGTGGTGCGCTGGGAATTCCAGTAACCTGCCCACAGAGATGTTCTTCCTGAGTCTGACATTTAAAGGTTCATTGCTGTCTCGAAGGTGCCAGGTCCAAAATGTGTACAACCCTCAGAAACCTACAGTCCAGCGACCGCTGTCTACAGCCAGACAAGGCTTGTGCTCTATAGGAAAAAAAGCCACGTGTGAGAAGGGCAACTGCCTTCCTTCCCCATAGGGACCTCGGAGCTCTGAGCCTCCAGCTGAAGCAGTGTCCTCAGTCAGCGTGGCTGCTTCAGAGCCTGTTCTCAAACCAACTGCAGTGTAAACAGGAAACTGAGCTGACAGCAGACGTGCTACAGATGGCTGCAAATCCTTCACAGGGAATGGCAGTGACCTCCCACTCTCCTACAGACCCAGCAACCAGTCTGGCCCTCAGCACACAAGCTCTGCAGATGCTATTCTGAAGGCAGGGGAGATGCCCAGGTTTTCCACCAAGAGACATCCAACATGGAGCAACAGTGGTGCCCAAGCAGCTGGGACTGTGGAACTGTTCCCAGGGCATCCTGCTGGGGAACTGGAGGTATTTCCAAGCACCGCCCTGCCTTCAGCTGTGGCAGGGCTGTGTCACCAGCCTTAAGAGTATACAAAATTACAGTCCTAGCTGGTAAGAACGAAACCAGAGCTCTGAACTCTGAGCTATTAAAACTTCTGAAGAAGAAGAGAGCAAGAGAAGGAGGAAACCATGTGGTTTCCATCCCAGGAAAAGAATGGCACAAAAATAAGATGGGAGAAAAAGTCAGACTTCCCTTTCTCTACCATCCTGCTGATGGCGCATCAGGAAGTTAAACCACATTTTGACAAAGCAAATTAGGGAAATAAATTAGGCAGTTTTCAACACTTTTGTGAACACCAGGAAGATATTATTTTGTTTCAAAGGCAGGTTTTTAAAAACTGGATGCTCCTGAGGAAATACACAAGAAAAGGCTTCTCAAAAGCGAACAGAATTTGACAGTCACTTATTTGTAGCAGCTTGAAGAACCGTAGGTTTCTAAAGCCACCCTGGACGAGGTATTACCTGTGCTCCTATAGTAGGTGTTCTGATTTATGATTTTCGAAACAGGGAAACAACGAATGTATGAATCTCCAATTAAGCAGAGAGACACCAGCACCAAAGCCTGCACTACAAAGATGAGAAACCACAACCAGGTGCCATCTCCTTCAGCTAACGTGCTCCATCCAGGTTAACTGTAAGCTAAACCAACATTCCCATGAATTCTCATAACAGAGACAAATTCATTAACATAACCACAAGTACAAGATACACACAAAGCTGGAAACCAAACCAGAAAACCTTACCTGTAAGGAAACATAAGGAGCCGAAACCAAACTGTGCTCAGTAAAACGACGGCGTTTTGCAACGACACGAAGCCGTCTCACAAAGAAGCGAGGTGCCAGCTGTGACTGCTGGAGGTTTTGTTTAACAGAAGAAAGCGGAGGAGCTTTACTCCAAACCAGCCCCGGTACTCACTGCACACAGAACGTTCCTCTATACCGAACGTGAGCATTGGCTTTTGCTTTGCTTCAGAGTTTATAAGCTGGGTAAAGTTTCAGCGCTTTCTTAATGAAACCCACATTAAGCACCGCATCTTTACAGCCTGGCAAAAGGAAGCGGCGGAAAGACTTCATTGGTGCTTTCAGAGAACAAAACCCACCGAGTTGATCCGAAGGGGCTCCTTCTGGGGCGATGCAAACCCCGCACGGATGCTCACCACCCCTCAGCTCCGTACCGAGGGCTGAAAGCCCAAAGCGGGCCGCTCCCGCCGGGTTCCCAGCTCCCCCCCCAGCCCTACCTGCTCACCGTCCCGCTGTTCGCCCCGTCGCAGGGCTGCGCTGGGCACGGCTCGGCTCTGCTCTGCTCAACAGCGCTGAGCGCCGCCCCGCCCGACCCGGGGCGGAGCGCAGCCGAGGGGCGGTGGGTTGGGCCGGGCCGGGGGTGGCGAGGAGGGGGAAGCAGGGCGGTCCGTGCGCCGTGAGGAGGTGAAGGAGCCCCGCGTGCCGCCTGGAGCTCCAGCTCCCCACGGGCACGGCGCTGCGTGGCCCTCATGGCGCACAACGGGAGCGGGAACGGCCTCTGCCCGGCGATAGGACGGAGAACTACGGGCCGGGCCGCGGCTTAGCGTAGGGAGCAACGACCGAGCCTCGGGACGGGGTCGAGCCCAGCCCCACAGTGCGGGGAGCCGCGGAGACGCGGGAAGAGCAAAGCGCACGAGCCGAGGGTGGCAGCAGAGCGCGGGATGAGCGCCGCTGTCGCCATGGAGACAGCGTGGTGACGTTGCGTCGGCGTGGTGACGCCGAGGCGACGTGACTACGTTGCGGCGACGTCGTGACGTCACGCATTCAGGCCCCGCCCCTCAGCGCGGTGAGACCGTCGCTTCGCACGCGGCTGTGCCGTGTCGCGCCGTATCGCGATGTCGGCCGCCTTCAGGAAAGCTGCCAAATCGAGGCAGCGGCAGCACCGCGAGCGGGCACAGGTGGGTGAGCGGCATCGGGGCTTCCCGGACGGATCGCGGGACCTCGGTGAGAGTTCGGTCCTCCGCTTCATCTTCTTCCCTGCCTGTCCCCGCAGCCCGCCTGCAGGAAGAAGCTGGGGCTGCTGGAGAAGAAGCAGGACTACCGGCTGCGGGCACAGTGAGTCGGGGAGCGGGGGGATGCGGGCTAAACGGCTTTATCTCTGTGCTGGAGCCGTTGGAGAGGGTCCAGAGGACGGCTACGAATGTGATCAGCGTTAGATTTGATGTCAGCGGAAGTTCTTTACAGACTGTGGGGAGGAGCTGGAATAGGAAGCCTAGAGAGGCTGTGGATGCTCCATCCCTGGGGGTGTTCAAGACCAGGTTGAATGGAGCCTGGAGTGGCCTGCTCTAGTACCAGAGCTGAAGGTTGGTGGACCTGACTGTGGCTGGGCATTGGAACTCAGTGATCCTTGGGGTCTTTTCCCGCCCAAGCCATTCTATGATCCTTCAGACTGGGACCAAACTGAGCAGCCCAGCACATGGCAACTCTGCATCACTGTGCCTCCTGTCAGGGAATGTGGGCTCAGGGGAACTCTGTGCTGCTCTGCCTTCCTCCCAGGGACTATCACAAGAAGCAAAATGCCCTCCGAGCACTTCAGAAGAAAGCTCTGGACAAGAACCCTGACGAGTTCTACTTCAAAATGATCCGTACGCAGCTCAAGGTGAGAAAGCAGATTGCTTTAAGGTAGGATGACACTCCTGCACCGAGTCACACTTTTTAAAAGTTAGTTCATGTTTTTAATTTAAGAATTAGTAAATAAACCAACAGGCTGGGCTTGGTGCCCATTGCAGTCCTGGAAGAAAATGAGGTGTAACAGACAAAAAGGTTCTGCCTTTATTTAATTTAAATCAGAGCCCATAGTTCTCTGTACCAAGAACTGCATCTACACACTGCACTGTTTTTAGGATGGAGTTCATGTAATTAAGCAGCCAAAGGATGAAGTGACCCCTGAGCAGATGAAACTGATGAAGACACAGGATCTTAAGTATGTGGAAATGAAGAGAGTGGCAGAAGCCAAGGTAATACACTTCATTTTCTCAACGTTTCCCAGTTTGCCTAGAATTGTTCTGTTTACTTTTTTTTTTTTTAGAGTGGTGGTATATATTGTGTCTACATTTAGTGAAATCTGATTTATATAATATTGAAAATTGAAGATGAAAATGTCAGCAGAATTCTGTGTATGGAGCCTACAGAAAGCTGCTAAAGACAATGCTGTACATTATCAGAAAACACAGCAAACCTTTGCATACATTTCAGATGTTAAACATGTTCGTGTCAACAGCATTATTGGTACTGAAGTGGGTAACCTTGACTTGAAAAGGACTTGAAGATAGGACACAAACTAGATGCGTTTTATAATATTAAAAAGAAAAGAAGAGTTCAGGTACTCATAAGCTCGAGGAACAAGCAGGAATTCCCTTCAGAGAGGCATCACTCCACCTTTTAGAGATCTTTGGCAGAACTGCTTACCTGTTGTTTCCTGCAGAAAATCGAAAGGCTGAAGTCGGAGCTCCATCTGCTGGATGTTGAGGGGAAGCAGCCCAACAAGCACACGTTCTTTTTTGATACTAAGAGAGAAGGTAAGATGTAAATAGACTTTGCCAGACATATTTTCCCCCAGTTTGTTTCAGGCGGTGTAAAATGTATAAGGCAGTATTGTGCTTGCTTTATGTGCTGCTATAAAAGAAGATTTTATTCCAGGAGCTCTGGAAGTCTATTTTGATTACTAGAGAAGGCCTCAGTTCTACAGGAGCTATTTAGCTGGGTCTCTCTCTGCTGCTGGCTGTACATAAGCTGCATGTTTGGAAGGTTTGCTGGATGTTAATCCAAGAAGTCTGTGTGAGTTTATTCCTAAAATCTTTTTAATTCTTTTTATAAATTTATAGTTCAAGAGTTTGATATTGCAACTCATCTGAATACTGTTCCAGAGCTGGTAGACAGAGTCTACAACCGACCAACCATTGCAACACTGCAGAAAGAGGCAGTGAAAGGAGCTACTGATCCTGCTCATTTAAAGGTAGTTTTTTTCTTAATGCTTTACTTTTTTAATAGAAATAATAAGCAGTGAGAAGCGTTCATTGGACCATTGTACAGGTGAACAAAGTTGTTCTGTTACCTTGGAATTTTCCTTGGTGACACAAGGCTGTAGTGGGTATCATTTAGTCATCACTTACCTGGAGACTGCAGTCAGATCTTCTGGACCAAGGTGGAGAACTTGTTTGGTTGTGTCCCAGTCCACTGGGGATGATAAACCAAGAGCTGTGAAGTTTGGGGCAGAAAGGAGCAGTTCCTGTCTGATGAGGATGCTTCATTGACTCCTGTAAAAAAAACCAAAAACCAACAAACCTGCATCCCTGAACCTGAAGCAAATGTTTCTATTAAAGTCCTTTGTAAAATCTATTTGCCTGTACTGTATTACCAGCAGTAACAGTACTCTAGCAGAAGTAATAATTCTTCAGGATGAATTACTTGCACAATCAACTTTGATTCTGATGTTTTAATATTACAGCACTCTGCCCTAGAAGTAGCTAAACCTGGCTTTAACAGTGGAAACACCTCTTAATTAGTTTAGATATTGGGCAGTTCTATAAGCTGAAGCCAGTGTGTGTAAGGTAAAAATAAACTTGTCTTAAACTGCTGTGTGGTAAATTTGTAACCTGTTGTTTTCTGAACCAGATGTCAGATAACAAACACCCTCTGGTCTCTTCCATCTTGCCAGCTTTCTTGGTTTGGCTTGTCAGTAAAGCAGTTGAACGAGTTTTCTCTCTAAATGTCTGAGTCACATTGTAAGCTTGTTTGGATCCGTTCTCCTTAATTTAATGACTTCAATCACACCTGCTGTAACACCTTTTTGTGCTGGGAAAACCATCAGCTAAACATGACCAAACAAGTTGCATTTTGGGAGGCCTCTCTGCAGTTTCTGTGCACTTCAGGAATTGATCTCATTCATCCAGAGTGAAAAAAGACATCTGTGAGTTTTCCCTTATGGAATTAAATGCTCTTTTGCACTCAACATTGAAATTAAGAGCTGTAAAACTGAAACTCTGCCTGCTTACCAAATTGTGTTCCACAGCATCTCAGCTAGAAAACATGGTGCTTTTTATTTGCAGATTTTTTTTCCTATGGTTTAGATTGAGGAGATTAAAACAAGTATGAAGAATAAAGACCTAACTGAAAAACCAGTCTGAAAATCAAGATATTAAACAGTTCTCCGGAATCCAACCACAACACTGAAGCAGCATTCTTTAATAAGATTGAAATGTAAAAAATGTTTGTGAGGTCCAAGTGCCTCAGAATAGGTCAGCTGTGAACTGTAGTGTCTTGTTCCTCGTTCTTAGAAATGCTTCTTTTTTTTTCCCCTTCCAGAAATTAGACCAACAAAGGAAGAATCAGTACGACCTCCTGAAGCAGCGCATTGAGCGAGAGAAGAGCATGTTTGTGATTGCACAGAAAATCCAGACACGTAAAGATCTTTTGGTGAGAGCTCTTAACTGTTTCTCTGGAGCTGTTTTGCTGGGTCTGGATGTCTGTGTATCAGTTTCTTCGCTCTTTGTTTTGCCATGACTTTGTTTTTAGCAGTTACCTGGAAATGTGATCTTCTTTAATATGGAGAAAGCAAGGCAGTGATTTTGTGAGGCCTTCAGACTGTGACAAATGTATGCCTGCTAATCCAACTTTATCACATCAACAACAAAGGCTCAACTTTGAGCACGCAGTCATCTTTAAAATGTTGTCATCACCTCTCAAACACTAAAAAGTAGCAGAGGGAAGGAAGCAGTTCTCTTGGTTCCAAGCTCTTAACCCAGTGACCAAGAAGAACTCTCCCCATTGGCGTTTGCACTCACTGGTGCTTTTGAACAAAACAGATTTTCTGCCCGACGAACTAAGGACAGAGAGAGCAGATGGAAATGTAATTCCAGTCTAAACAGTGGAAAGTGACCATTTTTCAGGAATGCTTTGTCAAACTCCAGACAGGGACTTCATAACATAAGGTTAAAAAAAAAACAACACACATGACAGCAGATAAAATCATTGCTCTTTTTTTCCCCTCCCCTTTTCTAGGACAAAACTCATAAAGTAAAGGTGAAGAAGGAGACAAAAGATGGCCCAGCTATTTACAAATTCAAGTTCCAGCGGAAGCGTTGATCGTTCCATTGAAGAAGCACTGCTGCAGTCCTTGTTTAGGAAGAGTTTTTTCCTGGTGGTGAAGGATCTGTTTGCTTTTTGTCACAGCCTAACGCTTGGTTGAAACAAATTACCACGGGTCTGCAGTAGCCATAAATATATTTTATCTAATTAATTGATTAATAAATCAAAGAGTTTGTTCTCTTGGTATTTACAGTGGGAAGCCGCAAGAGGTGCCTGTCTGTCCTAGTAATACACACCACAAACCATCCTTGTGAAGTCAAGGTCAGAATA